GGGCTGGAAGGGAAATATGGCCTTTAAGACATCTGTATGTTGTGGCTGTGGGCCAAGCTCTTGCTCATTCTCTGGATCTGACTCTGCTCCTGAGATTTCTACTGTAATGAAAAGTGGCAACAGCTGTCTGCTTTCAGCCAGCAGCTGTATTTCAGAAGGATGCTAAGTACTGCAGGCCGCAGTCAAGCTGTATTCACACAGTGTATTCTTTCAATGAAAAAAAAAAAAAGTATCCAAACTTTTGATTCCAATAATTCTAAACATTCATACTTGGAAGTTAAGTCCCAACTGAATTTATTGAACTTACTTCTGAATAAACATGCCTGAGCCTAAAATTTATATAATTCACAGTTATTTTACCCTCTATTTATTATTTTATCTAGTCAGTGCTTATTTTCTCCATATGATGTTTTTTCAGATGCATGACCAGGTGAGCAAAGTAGCTGAAGCAGCTAAAGATAAGGTTAAATGCTGCCATTTCTATGATTGAAGCAGTTCAAAAAACAGTTCCAAATATATAATTCACCTTATCAGTATGAAGAGTTTCCTTTTCAAATCAGTGCAGCCAAAATACTAAATTAAAAGCAAAAGCCAGCAAAATACTGAAATCAGCAACCTACATAGTTAGGCTGATGTATTAACAGCAGTTTTAAATATATATTATAGGCTGATCAGTTTTACAAAATAGAACCAGTTTCATTAAAAAAAGAATGATTATAGCAGAAATTGTTTTTTTCATGCTATCAATTAATTTATACTTCAAATAATTGATAGGCTCTGAAATACTATCAGATCCTTCTGTAAAAATTTGGAATCTCTATAACTCTAGGCATCTGAAGAACAAAGTGACCTTTAGCTTTCTTTTTCTCCTGTTTTTAAGACCTTGATGCGGTATCATCAAGGATTAAAGACATATTTTTGGAACATAAGGAATATATAACTTCTGAAAAAGGCTTCAACCTGAGGATAATTCTAGTCCCTCTTATTCCTCACAGATCTTTTACAGGTGTAGGAAGAAGATAGAACACTATTGCAACTTTCACAAACTGATACCCACCAAATATTTTGGCACCAGTTGGAGAAATCTGCTCTAGGATATTTGGGGAAGAGCATGTTGGACATTGTTCACTGCTTTTTAATTTAACATGTAATTCTTGAGACAAGGAGCAAGTCTTTATTTGAGCAGTTACAGACATGGATATTGATTAGTGCAGCAACCCACTTCTTTCACGTAATATCTAAGCACTTTTACAAAATGTTGTGGTTTTGTGTCTTTTGATGTGGCAGTAACGTGCAGGTAGACCTTTATGTACATCATCTTGTTCTCTCTAAGAAAAGGCAGAATACATAGGCAATAAATAAAAACAGTAAAATACCTGAAGATTGTGGAGACTTCTAAATTGATTGATTGATTGATTATGTGCCATCAAGTCATTGTCGACCACATAGATAGATAATGATATGTCCCTAACCTGGTCTTTCAGGTCTTCCAACAGTGCACTCATCACCACTGTAACATGTCAAAGATACAACATGCTCAGTTAAGAGAAAAAAAGGAAGTGGTTCATCTTGTTTTAGGAAAATAATGTAAGCCATCACACATAGACCACATTCATCTTAGTTCCTCCAAACTTGTTAGCCACAGATTCATAATGTTTGCCATTTACAGAAATTTATGTAGTAAGATAGCAAATAAGGAAATGAATGGGTTGGAGTAAACAGATGTTTCATCAGATTCTATCTTGTTCTTCAGGGAAAAAAAGACCACAGTACCCATCATCATCATCACATTGAAATAATTAGTCATTCATCTGTTGTCATTTCATGATTATCAATTAATAGCTGAATGACCAAAAATGGTTCTAATGAGGTCTTTAGTGGACTTCTTTTGCATCCTCAATCAAGTCATTGTTGAGGAGCAAAATTTAAAGTTACTAAGACAGCTACCCTTTACATATCTGAGACTCAGTCCCAATGTACTCAGTAGATAAGTATAGGCTTTCATTACTCATTTATTTCCATGCTGGAATTCTTATTATCCAGAGCACCAGGTTGAGAAAGAGTAACATAAGCCTTAGCTTATAGAACAATTACTAGCTTTGTCGATAGAAAGCCAGTTTGGTGTAGTGGTTAAAGGTGTCTGGTGTAGTGTTTGGTGTAGTGGACTAGAAACCAGGAGACTGTAAGTTCTAGTCCTGCCTTAGACATGGAAGTCAGCTAGGTGACCTTGGGCCAGTCATTCTCTCTCAGCCCTAGGAAGAAGGCAGTGGTAAGTCACTGCCAAAAATGTTGCCAAGAAAACCTCATGGACTTTTACATTTAATTGGCTAGACTGATTGGAAGGTGCACTCACATACACACAGTGACTTTGCTAGGGCTAGGTCACAATGGCGGCTTCCAACAAACTGTCAGTGAGAAATTGGTAATAGCTGATGGGATGGGACAGAAAACAGGCACCTATCTAAAGTGCTGCAAGTTGCGACACAAGTTCTTTTAAAATATATGTTTAATAGTTAAATGAACATGCAGTGCAGCAAAATGCTTTTTTTTCAAGGTCCAGTTACATCCACCATTTTTATGTGTTCAGATTGTCTGCAGGTTGTGAGCCAAATCTGGAGCTCAGAGGTACTTTGGGCAAATGAAAATAGTGATCATGGTTGGAGATAGTAGAGCACTAAGCAGTAATTCCTTCACAACGTGAAACAGCTTCCTGATGACCCCAAGTAATTAGAGGGAGAGGCTGGGGAGAAAGGACCGTGACATAGCTAGGATACCTGAGAAGGAGGACAAAGAAGATGGGCCGAAAGTCGGGTGACAGTGGCAAACGGACAGAGTAGCCATGGTGATATGGAAGGTGGAAGGTCCCCTTAATCCAGAAATATCATTTGAGCCCCCTGCCTTTTTCTTATTGCAGCTGGTGCCAGTGCAGCTCTTTTCTTCTGATAGTGTTTTTCTGCTGAACTCTAACATCTAGTAAGCAAGTCCATGTTGGAAACCCCAAAATTCTGGAATTACTCTCAGGATTATATAGAGATACTTCAGCTACTTTTAGTGCCTTCTGATAATTTCACTAGCACACCAAACTTTGGATGGGGCATTCCAGTTTTTGTTAGATCTTTTCATTATATTTATTCTATAACTGATAAAAGGACAGTTCTGTAGCAGTGGAAATGTGTCCTGCTAAATTCTTTCTCAAATGTAGCTTTAGAAAAAAAAAAGATTGGCTGCTGCTTTCTCTTCTTTTTTAGTTGTTAAATTGACAGTAGCAAGACAGGAAGGTACTAGAGCTAAGCATTAAGCTTTACTTTCAGACTTTAAAATACTGTATGTTTTACTTTGGAATTTGATCCAGATCTGATAAAGATGTACTCCTACATAATGTGTATACTATTTCTGACATAGGTGAGATATTGACTAAACTCAGCCTGTACAGATAGTATTATTGTCTACAATGTAGGTTATCCTAAATTCTAGCTTTAGGATTTAGGGAACCCTCAGTGAACCTTCTATCTGGAGAAAGCAAGGCATACAAACTAAAAATGCTCTCTCTGAGATTACATTTTAGTTTGTTAGACATCTGAGCAAAAGGGAAATAGTAGCACTATTAAAGCATTTGTCTCTCATCTGGGACCAGATTCGGCCATCTTGATATCACCTAGAAATCTGCCTTGATTACTATTAATGTTAAGTTTGTGTTAGTAGAATAGAAATCGGATGGTGCAGTTTTGTTTGTTCATTGTAAATAACCCCAATATTTCCTGTTTCTTTTATAGTCTAAAGAATGGCATCATAGGCTGGAGAACAATAAAGGGAAATGAAGTGATAGAAAGACCATATAAACAATATATAAACAATATTAATTGCACATATAGTGCCCTTAATAGCATCACACTGTTGAGCCGCAATTCAGCCATCCTCATTTGTTTGGAACCTGGGAGTTGGAAGAAAGCAAAGATATTCAAATAAGATTCAGTGATGGGTATAATGATATGGGTATATGTGGAAAAGGTAGCAAATTTGCATACATTTGAATAAGCAGCATATGTGGGTAATAGTTAGATAAGGAAGTTCTGAGCCCTGAATAAATGCAGATCAGTGGGGTTCAGAAATAGAAATAAAGTTTAATTGCATTTAGTGTCACCACTTCACTAGAGAGCAATCTTGGCTCAGCCATTTTCCTGACCACTTCTTTTTGCTAATTGCTAATGTCATTTTCCAGACAGATAATACAATTGGCAAAGAAAGTAACTGAGTCTTGAAGATGCATGCTGTCCAGACCCTTGGTAGCACAGGATATATTAGTGAGCTTATTTTGCAATTTTGTTTGTGGCTGTTTTGGTTATCCATAGTCCATAGATGCAACACGATAGACTGACCTCTGTTAACAGTAACAGGCAGGAAAAAGCAAAATTAGCCTTGTTAGAGTCTCACAATGAGAGATAAAAGCTTCCACGACTCATCCGTTAACCTGAAGTATCTCTAGAGCATATTTAGTGTGCAAAATGCTTATGTTTTTCTCATCTTTTCTTGAATGCATGAGGTGGAGAATCAGTAACTTATCGGAGGCTGTTTAATGACATGAACAATCATGTTTATAGAATTATGAATGGTATGAAAGGAGTGGAGAGAGACATTTTTCTTTCCATCTCATATTGCATCATGGGGATTGTTGAAGTGTCAGCTTGACCACAGGGAATCAGATGTCCAGCACAGTTTTAAGAACACTATTTTTCATCTGCTGCATTGGTTTTACTTCATCTTGCCATTTGTCTCAGCACATAATGTTGACATTTATTGGCTATTGTCACAACTTTAGGCAGGTTCAATCTAAATTTTTTATGAGTCTAACAGACAACTTTTTAAACATGTTAGAATAAATTATTGATGAAGTAGAATAGCAAGATTTCATACGCATGGATATTCAAATAATAACTTATTAATATTATCTTCTCCTCTCCTACACCCACCTCCCTTCCCTGTTTCTTCATTTTTGTTGGTAGGGATCTCTTTGCGCCAGACTACACTGAAACTCATTATACTAAAATTGGAACAGCCCAAACCATCTCCTTGAACAAGACAGTGAGTATTCAACATAATTTCATGAGACAAGTCCACTTGAAAACATAATCCTGGTTCCAACTTTGGTAGGCTGTACATGGAGCAATGTCCAAGTCTTGATTGGCACTCTGAAAAAATTGATTTGGAGGTACAAAGGAGTAGGAGAAGAAATGATCAAGGAAGCAAGTTCAAATATACTCTGATTCAAAGCTGGGGGAGTAAATAAGGAAACATTCATTGCCCCTCCCTTTGCATCTTTCCTGGTGAGATCATTGTTAAGTGCGTTATTTGATAGTGTAATATGAAAGTAGTGATCGAATAAGAATCTTGATATGGGAATTATGATTGTGGCTGCTACAGTTTTTAGAACTGCAGCAGTCTCTATTCAGTTCATTTTCTTCATCAACATAATTGTCTTTCTGTGGGTAAATATAATAAGCTACAGTATTTCTTATTTCTTGACTGCCCAGAGCCATTTTGGAGTAGCATAACATAGAAATACCAATAATAAATAAATAAGTTTCAAGTGAGACAGAACAAATCGAAGAAATTGCTGCTTATGGAAAACTTTGACTTTACCTTAGAATGCAAAACTCTTGTAATCTACTACATCCTACATTAGCAATTTTCCAGATGTTGTTTCACAGAATTCACTGAATTGTTGGGTGTAACTGTTCAGTGTAATGGGGAACAGCACCACATAGTGCTGTTACAACTGCAGTGATCCATATCTACTGGTTTGTAATTTGGGTGTGGTCCTTGGAACTCCATACAAAGTTGGCAATGAACTTCATTGGTGCCTCTAGTGCAGGGCTGAATCACAGTGATATGCTGATGGGCCACTGAACTACATTGGCAAAAAACAGTGAACCAAAAACTGCTAGAACTATGCAGCTGGATTAATACGACGCCATGCTATAATGTGCATTCTTTCTGATGTCCTCACCTCTCCGCTTGCACTTCCTCCCTGTGTAATATCTGTCTATATTCTTGCCCATGTCCAACACCCACCCTACCCCTTGCTCCTTTCTGCACAGGACTCCTCCTGTCATAAAAGTGAAGAGATTGGCTACAAACTTTTCTTTTGCCTCAGTAGCAAAGTATTCATACATGAAAATCCCAGGTTCTAAATCAGTGTGGTCTGTACCTTCTAAGCTCCATGCTGGAACAGACACATCTATTCTAGAAATGCTCATGAACTTAAAAATGGATATCCTCCAGGGACTGATCCCCTCTGCTAAGTGGGATCTGAAAGCTTGTTATCCTCTCAGGGCCTTCCAAAACTAACTTATGCCAACTGGCTCATGTCCAGTAGGACCTCTCTCCTGAATTAACTGACTGGAAAAATGTAGACTGGCTAGCACTTCAGATAGTGAATTAGATGGTTTACAAATAAGTGTTCATAATAACAGACATCATCTTTCTTGATATTGCTCTCTTTACTGTAGTTTCCTAAAAGAAGCTGACTGTGCAGAATTGTAATGGCTGTTGAGTTGCAGGTTTTTGTTTTTGGCTGTTTTTCATTATGGGAATCTATGCAGTATGGCTTTATCATTTCACAGTATGTTTGTAGTTTTTCTTAAAAAGAAAATGTAAAATACTAGCTGTCCCAGAAGTCAGTAAAAATGTTTACCCAGAAAAACTGATTCTGCTCTTCAGACTGAGATCTCTCCAACAGTTTTGTTCAGTAGAATAATAAATGTTTTAGTACATACAATTCTCTCTCTCTCTCCTCCCTCTCTTTTAAAGTAGAAATAAGCTCCCAAATTATTTTTTCCCTCCCCAGAAAATGACTTCTCAAAAGTTACAAATCAAATGAGTGAGTGCATAAAAAAGTAAGATTGCGCTCACAGACCATACTAATCCATTTATGGCAGAATATGATGCTGAACCTAGTCCTTGTTCAAACATTTTGCTAAGCCATGTTTACTTTAAGTGTTGTTTATTGAATAACTACAATTGGTTAGGTTCAGACAAGATGCTAAGACAAAACCAAAGTAACTGTATTACGATTCAAACAAATCTGGGCAACCCAGCCATTATGGACAATTCAGCTCTGAGTTATTTTAGTGGGGGTGGGTAGAAGGAGAGATTGAAAAGGATTCATATCCCCAAAGAGTTAAGTAAGCCGTAATGGGATCACTCTTATGTCTTTTCATGTCTACTTTTCATGTAACACTGACTTGGATTCCTACCAAAGGAGTGGGGAAAGATAAATGAATCTACAGAGTGAGGTTACTTGCTCTTGACACTTCCTTTCATCCTCTCAGGATCATTGCTTTTACCATGGTAGAGTGAGGGGGATCCATAAATCAAGTGTGGTGCTCAGCACATGCAGAGGTCTACGGTAAGTTCCCAGCTCTTTCATGCATTATCTGGCTGCAAAGGGACTTTTATATGATGTCATAATTTGCAATTAAAAGATAGAGTGATGACCAAAGGACTTTAAGAAGGAGTAATAGATAAATGAATGGCTAAATAGTGATGGACAAACATGACAGTTTTTCCCTCTGGGCGGGTCTGCTGCTAATCCCAACATTTCTGAGGATGATAGCTCAGAAGGGTTCAAGGAGTTTTATTTGTATGGTTCTTTCCAGATACCACAAGGCAGGGACGGGCAGCTTTTTTGCAACGGTGCTGCTGCTGCTGCTTTTCCCTTTCCTCCCCTTCCTCCTCCACCAACATCACCAACCCTATGGACTACATTGAGATTACACCACTGGGGGAAATTCTCATACTCATTTGTTTTGAGGAACTTGGCTTTTTTTGAAGAAGTATCCTGCTACATCTATTTTACTACTTCGTTAAAAAAAAAAAAAAAACACTCTTCAGAGTTTTGCACCAAATTTCTGTAGACCAATTTTGAGAGGCATCGGGGGTCAGAAAAGAAGAGGCTAGGGGTAGCTTCATGTAGCCCACAAGTTGGAGGTTAGTCATCCCTGCTGTAAAAAGAAACATTAATTATGTATTCTGGGATTTCATTCCCTGGGTATCTATAGGATCTTTCTGTTTGCCTTATTTGGAATAAGATCATTGACTGTCTAGCCTAGTATTATCCACTTTAACTGACAGCAGGTCTCCAGAATTTGAGGTAGGTGTTTTTTTCCAAGCTTCCCTTGTACTTCTCACTTAATAATGGAATTTCATAAAACCCCTAGATAGCGATGAGTCTTTATTGTTGATTAACATATGTTAACTCTACAGAGCACTTGAGAAATTAAACATGTTGTTTTTATAAACAGGACATGGTTTCTTTTTGGCCACTTTACTTCAGAGCCAGTTGGAGCTGGGCTTCTGTCCAGTTAGGAAATAGCTTTGGCCAGACTTTTTTTTAAAAAATCCTCAATAACCTCAAGTCACCTTAATGTAAACAAACTGTCGGGATGTATAAACAAAGTAAAGGCTGCCTTTTATGGCTGATACAAGCCACAAGCCTGCACAGAATAGAAAGCATCGCAGGTGCAAGTTGACCGGCTTTCATCCCACCCTTCCTTTTTCGGCGTGTTATTCCTGGCTTTCAGAATTTCCAGCCAAAAGCTCGTATTCATTGTTAATATTTTGATTGACAGTAGATTGCTCCGTATACCAGCCAGCATCCTTCAAATTATTCTAATATCAGAATAATTTGGGATTACTGGTAATAAACAGAAGCTAAACCCTTGCATATGTTTTTATATCTTGTGGGAAAGAAAAGCACAGCTAGAGAAAAGACTCACTGCAGACAAAACCCATTTGCTACTCAGTACTTAATTCTTAAGTATAATTCTTAATATTTAAATAAAGTAGTTCTATATGTAAGAATTCACCTGAAAGTTAATGATATTATTTGTTCTGCAGAAACCAAAAGTAGCTTGTGAATATAGCGATATTGATGAAAGCTCATTCTGCATGTATGAAAATTTGCCTGGCAAAAGTGTTACTAGACGTCGATCACACTAATATTTTATTTATTTATTTATTTAGTCATCATATTTATATAGCAGCCTATCTCACAAACGTGACTCTGGGTACAGTAAAAAACAAGCCATAAATGAACAACATTAAAAACATTCCATAATTTTAAAAAAATCAATATTTATTAAAAGACTAGGAGAGAGCATCTTCCACGTTACAGACAATGTACAGTAGTCATCTCACCTTTCACCATACGGCAGTGTTCTCTCCAGTGAACTTGGATGAATGTAACTGGTTATGAGTTGCCACACTTTTCATCAAAACAACGATGAAATAGATTGCGTTGAGAGGTGTGACTTGCTCAGAGCCACCCAGTGAACTTCATAGCTTAAGGGGGATATGAATACAGCTCTCATTGCTCAAGCCCAGCGTCAGTCACAATACCGCATTTACTCCATTGTCAGCATCAGTGAAAAGGTAGGCAGTGGAAAAGGATTGTAAAGTTTCCTCTTCTGAGAAGATCCTTTCATTTTGCATGCTTGCCTGAATTTTATGAAGATCCTTCTACTTAGCAGCTTTAATTTTGTTACTTGCCTTGGTGGTGGTTGACTTTTCATTTTAACTTTTACCTGGTGGAGCCTGGAGAAGGAACTGCCATTTTGTTTACTTCCAGAATTGTATGCTATTTTTCACAACTGTGTATGAAACTGCCTGGTTATTTAGATCAGCAGGAGGGGTCTTTTGAAGGTGGTCCCACTGCCAGAAGCTTGACAGTCTGGTATCTGGTACCTATTTCACATTTGCCTCCCAGACTATGGAACGTTTTATATAAGGGGATAATTTGTTTCCCAGTATTACTCCAGTATTTTTTAAAAATGGCAAAAAAACATTTTGTTTGTCAAACTTTGAAGTGTTAATTGATTTTAATGAAATTGATTTTAATTGTATTGATTTATTATTTTGTCTTTAACTTCCTATTTTAATTCTCTGCAAAGCTTATAAAAGTAGAATTATGGGCTATAAATAAAATAAATATATTATGACCATTTCCCATTATTGAAATCCTCTCATTCTCTTTGCAACATTTCTAATCTACAATGCCACTGGCATTTTTTAATTTCAAAATTGTTCTAGCTTTTGTGTAAAGCAACTGATCCATTGCAGAGGAGATCTGATGAACGTTCTGCAAAGAAGACTGTGCAGTTGACTTCTCACAGAATCTTTATTTCTTGCTGAGCACGCAGAAAAGCATCTGAGTAAAGAGAGGATTTGGTTTTTTCAGAGTTTGTTGTTCAGTCGTTAAATTGTGTCCGACTCTTCGTGACCCCATGAACCATATTGCGCCAGGCCTTCCTGTCCTTCACTGCCTCCCTGAGTTTGCTCAGTTTCATGCTCATTGCTTCAGTGATGCTATCTAACCATCTCATCC